TTGACACAAAATGTTGGCAATGCAACCAAAACTAAAGAAACTATACATTTTACACCTATGCAATCTTGCTGGGTCAATTTACACTCAATCTTTACCTATAATATGACCTAGAAATTCCAATCTGGCTTTAATTTCAAGCTTGCCTTTGTTATCCACTGAAGTAGTTAGCTCAGATTTTCATTAGCAGACTCACATATGTAGCCAAATGCTAAGTTATCATTGACATAGACCAGGCATTTTCCCATTTACACTCAATCTTTACCTACAATATATCCTAGAAATTCCAACCTGGCTTTAATTTCAAGTTTGCCTTTGTTATCCACTGAAGTAGTTAGCTCAGCTTTTCATTAGCAGACATGTAGCCAAATGCTAAGACATCACTGACATAGACCAGGCATTTTCCTATTGTGCAGTCTCTTCTATATAATGTCAATCACCTTACCAAAGAGGCAGTAGACACATTAAACAGGCCAAATGACATGAAGCAAAACTCATTAAAACCCTCTCATGTGCAGAAAGAATCTTGAGGCTGCTCCTATCATCAATTTAGACTCACCAATATATGGACACAAGGTCTTGAGTTGAATCATCACGTAGCATTCAATGCATCAACACATTCGTCTGTCTGTAGTAGTGGAAAGGTATCAATACGAGTTGCCATGTTGATCCATCTGAAGTGAACACAGAACCTTGATGTACCCTCCTTCTAATCACCACTGGAGACTCCCATGCATTCTATGAAGGTGAAAGATTCCGTCTTTTTACATCCACTGTATCTCACTGCTGGCTACATCTGTAGTGCTACAAAGAAGTCTACAAAGCAGTGTTTTAAGTAGGTATGCATTGCCTGTAATGTGATAGCAAGTAATTTTTATTTGACCAATTGGCTAACTAGTTCCACAAATGCATCAGTTATTTAAAAAAGTTTCTGAAATTCTTTGCTGTGTTGAATCCTGGTTGCCTGCACAATCATAATTTAGCAACCGCCAATGTATCAGTAACTGTGTACTGACATGACACAATAGAAGCAACACTAATGATCCAACTAATTTCTGTTACCTTCACTTTGCTCACATTGATTACAACTTTTCATTCAAGAAACTGAACAGTCAACTGCCTGTAACTGCAGAAAAACACTAGGACTTCATCTTCTCTTGGACAGATCCACATTGGAGCTAATGTTGCCAATTTCTGGATAGAAAACTGCATTTAATGCATTGACTCTACCACCACATTACATGGTCCCAATACATTAGATCTCATCTTCAGTAAACTGCAGAACATCATTTCTATATAAAAATGTAGCATGACTACCCCTGTAGCATATACATATGCAGTCCACTATTCTTTTCTCATGGAAACACAGTTCACCTGATGCACAGACAAAACTTACTGGCAATTTCCACAGTAAATCTATCTCTAGAATAGTAATGTTGGAGCCAAAGTCAGAGATGACTACTTTTATTCAGTGGCTGATGTTACCTAATCATGACTAGCTTACTACCATTCACTAAAATAAAACCATTGTTATCTGGCCAGAGTACCTGATAGACAGCAATATCAATCAGTGTCCTGGTAGCTTCTGTATGAATCAGGATCTCTATCTCTCACCCTTGTACCTTTACAGACAGATATAAAGGACCAACCAACCCTGAAAGAGCTGAACTGCACAGAAGGTTTATGAGGGTTGATAGTAAGTTGTAGTTGCTTCAGCTGTACAAAAATCCAGCTTAAGTAGGTTCTGGCCACTGACTTAGGGTGGGGAGAATGCAACAGACAGCTGCTCCATAAGGTTTGATGGTCCGCTGGTCAAAACTGGTAGCCTTGCTTACCTTGCTGTGCAGCAAGATAAAGTCAGTTTACTTCAAAGTGGTCCACACCCAAAGCAGATGCTTCGTTCTTTGCTTTCAGAGTGATGTTCAGGCAGAGGCATAATCAGCATTGGCACACTCAGTCACTGAAAGAATAAGCAAGCCTTACCCACTTACTGGGAACCAGTGGCATTGTGTTGCAGTGCTGGGATGTGTTGGCTGCTGCTTTGTCCTCTGAATAGCTTGAGCTTTGTGTGATGCAATCACTTCAGGGAGATGATTTGTTTGACTTACAGCCACTATGGCCTTCTTTCTCTCTTGCAATTTATTCAATGTTATAACTTTGAACCATGTTGTTGAAGAAACTGCTCTGCTGAGGTGGGAGTATCTCTCTCATACCCAAGTGATGCCTCATTGCCTGACCCCGTAGACCTTTGATGAACTTCTCAACAAGGGCATCCTTGCAATTCATAGCAAAGTATTCTTTCCCATGCTAATAGCACAAATCATTTGCATAAGGACCCATGCTTTCTGCAGAACCTCTGTGTTGAAGTTGGCCTAATGGATAGCTTAGTTCTCCATCAGATCAAAATGTTTGCACAACTTGGATACAACTGAGTTCCATTCCTAGAGCTGCTTTTCACTCAAGAGCTAGATAGAATAAAAGGGTGGACCAGCCAAACTCAATATCAAGCGCTGCAACACCTGTTCCTGAGTCCAGCTATTTCGAAAGAGTGACCTGTTTGAAATGCTTCAGGAAAGAGTCCAGGTCTTTTTTTTTTTAGTCATACTCTGATACATATGGTTCACAGAGACCTTATGATTCTAACATAAACTTCTCGTCCATGGGCTCTCAGCTAACACCAGACTGAGATGCCCTAAACATTGGGGTATGGTGGAGTGAATATACTCAAGAATCCCTGAACTCATACAAGCATTAGGTGCTTTCCCTTGGGTTACAGAATGGTGAGTTAAAATAGTTAGCTTGTCAATCAGCTCTGCATAACCCCAGATTTTCTGTGACCCATGATCACCCTGGCAGTATATCTACTATCACTGAGAGTCTCACAATACCATCGCTAGCTGGTGCTCAGGTCTTACCTGAAGGCAAAACAACTCAGGCTGGTGTAAATTTTCAATATGGAAATAAATATGAATAAAACTACACTTTGGATATTGAACTACATATTCAATCTTTTTATAAACCAAAACTCAGTAATTTTTCTGGTAGGGTTAATCAAGTTTTAAGGTAGTATAAATTGTTGCCAAGAAACAATAAGTATCAACTTTTCTGGTATAGTGTGAGCAATTTCAAATATAATAAAATTACATTTTCTCAAGAAAATTGCAAAGCTCAGCCTGTTTGAAAACTGATTAATTGTTGGATTTTTTTATGTACCATAACCATTATAATCCTTCTGGCAAAAAAATAAGCATCCTTCAACAGAATAAAAAAAATTCATTAAACCCATCAAGAAAATCTGACTGGATTTAATGTCTGCTAAATCTAAAAATTACCTGGTATTCTTTAAAGGTCCAAATAACTTTAATTTAAATTCAGCCAGGCAGGGTTTAGTGATTAGCATGCCAGATGGTGGATAGGAAGGTTCAAACATAATATGCTCTATCTAACATGCTCTATCTATTGTTGTGGAGGACATTACATAGTTGTTATGTTCAATCACGTTATTCATTAAAAATAGCCACATAGCTAACTGACTGGTTGCTCTACCTCTGATTAAAGTTCTAAATTTAGGAGGATTAAAATTTTTTAGTAACCAGGCTGTTTAACCCATTTAATATATGATGCTACAATATACCAAATGTACTCAACTTTTCCAGTTGTGGGGGCATTATATTATTGCAATAAATTTTTTCATTCATTTAAGAATAGCTGTATAGGTGGTGGATGCTGATGACTAGTTACCCTCCTTCTGGTCAGCAGTTCAAGCATCTGGGATGGCTATGCTTGAATTTTTGTTTCTGAAAAGGCTATTTAACCCATTTCATATTTGATGTCATTCAGAACATATCTAAAAGTACAAAAAGAAAATTAATTTCTACAGGAATCAAACTTCAAATCCATGTACTATACATTGTGTTGTGTTTCTAATATGTTGATCATATGATCATTCACTTATTAACCCCATGCTTGTATTATGCACTTTGTGAGTGACTGGCAAGAGCTATAAAATATAACGAAATAAATCAATTCAAAATCCATTTGGCCTGAACACTGTTCATTTACTGGATATGTCAAAGAACAACAAAACATTAATAATATTCATATATAATAGAGCTTTAAGAGCAAAATTTGAAAACCTTAATTCTAACTGGAAGTTTTAGTAAACCTCTTTCCATCAACTTGAATTAGGATAGAAGATAGCCAACTTTACAAATAAATACACAAGTCATTAAAAAATCCTAACTGATAATGTGATGCTGAACATAAAAAAATCTCTAATTGATATGTTGTGAAGTACAGCATGGAAGAAATGATTCAGCAGGAGGCAATCAGTCAGAAGTAGCTAGCCTTTGTCCGTAGCCAAATGAAATGCACAAAGCTAAAAGCATGATAGGTTCAGCAGCTCTTCCCCTTTGATTTGCATGCCAACACAAAATTAATTAAGTCACACTTGCCTGACAAAATAAGAACAAATTTCAAATGGTCAAAATTGTGGCTATAAACACCATGGCTTACCTATTTTGAAATTTAACAAGACAATCAAGTTTTTAAAAAGCTATAACTGAAATTATTTTTTTTGTATATTGCTTTGTGGTTTTATGAAGTTTATCAAATGATTATTAATTTCTTTACTTATGCTTGTGTTATGCAATTTGTGTATCCAGCAAGGCTTCAAAATTTGTAATGAAATAAATCAATTTAAAATCCTTTTTACATGAAAATGCTGGCTTAGCCATTTATCTCATGTTTGATATATGGTGCCATTCATGTTGAAAATTTCTAATACTTTAAAACTTTATTTACAGAAGTGAAACTTCAAATCATGTGTATTATGTACTATATATTTAATTAGGTAGACTTAGAAGTAGTAAACTTTTCACTAAAATATTCAGGGCCAGATCTATAAATTATTCTTTAATACTGATTAGTATTCTTCAAATATCATTTACATATGAATAATTATATAAATTATTTTAAGTTTCAGTAAATGCAATGACTTTAGAAAAATATATAATTTGTTAGATACCTTTCAATATTCTAAATTTAATGCTTTAACATTTTTTCAATTACACTTTATTTTCTAGTTAATATACTATAGTACATGTTAAAATAATTATTCTTGATTGTAATATGTTCACTACTGAGAGAAACCTCCAATTCTTTAGAGTGAAATGTTTTTAGTAATTTTAACCATCACTCTTTCATTCTGAATGTATAATTCAAAGATTTTCTGGCAATAAATGATTCTCTTTTTTATCATGATTAATTCAGTATTTTCTTCATATTGATTTTTACTTACTTTTTTTATGTCATGGCTACACATCTTGTTTGGACAATCAAAAGTTTCATACAATGAAAAACTTGCAAAAATATAAAAAAAGTTATATTCATTTGTATCAGTAAATAATTATCTGAAACCCAAAAACTTTTTATAACAGTTTGCAATGACTGCTCCATGAACTTCAGAATAAAATTTATTTAATTTTAGAAATTTTCTGTAAGCCTTGTACTTATCATACATTTCATGATTACTTTTGTTTAAGCATTCTTATAGTAAAAATACATATTATTTAAATTTATTATTTTATAAAAGAAATGACAATACATGAATATATTTCTCAGTACTTTTAAGTATGAGATAAGTTTAGCAAACTTTGATTCCTTATCTACACTTGATTATAACTATATGGCAGTGATGTTAGGCTTTAAAGGTTTCCAGCTGATTTCATCACTTCCTTAGTTTACTCAACTAAAGATATTAAAAATATTCCTTCAGCACATAAATTGAATAGTTAACAGTTAAGAACATTATGCATAACACTTAAAAATATAGTAAAATAAAGAAGAAATTACAAGATATTGTGATTTATCTTAATATTTCTTTTTTGAAAACCTGTTTATAGTAAGTGCTTGATGAGCATGACTAAAATGTAGAAGTTAGTTGGATCACTTACAATAACCAACATTATTAGGACTACTATACTAAATGATGTTTTTTGAATAATACTGTCACTTTTTAAACATTATCATTACTAATTTAGATCTAATGTTTTGAGAAATAAAAAATGGATGTAAAATGAAACAATAAGATAGCATACTTTATTCTAAAGTTATGAATGAAAATGTCATTCACTTTTTAGTACCTTTCATAAGTTTTCTTGCTAACAGATTATGGATAAAACATTTACGTCTTCCAGAAAAACAACAACAAAAAAAAACACTAATGCCACAAGTGGTTTGTGACAATAATGTAACATAAAGATGTTACTTTAAATGCTTCAAAACAGAATTTCATAATTTTAACATACACACAGTACTTTATTCTGAACCCAATGATCCATTGTCAGAAAAGGACAAAATTCACTGCAGTTTCCTCAACACTTTTTCCAAATAAGATTCAACAAAGGTAGTAACATGAGTTTAGTAAAAAAAAAGAATAATTGGTTATTTATACTCCAAACAAATGTTTCAAATCATTTAAGGTCAACTTCTCAGCTTTCTGACTAGTTCCTTCGATAACATCTTTTGCTAAATGCAACTTTTTTTTTGAAGCTGTTGTATTTTTTCTTCAATTGTATTCTGGCAGATAAACCTGAAAATAAGAAATAGTTTTTTTTCTGAAACTCAACTGTAATTCATTTTTATTTTTTAGATAAATGTAAAGGAAGACAACTAAAACATTTATATCTTTTAATTAAAGAATAAAACAAAATTATTTTAACAAGAAGGAACTAATAACTGCCTTTTACCAGTTTAAAAAACCTTCACTAAAAAGAACTACAAATAATTAAAGAGCACACAAGTTCTTTATTCATTACACATACTCTATTTTAATTAATGGTTATTATTATTTACAACAAACATGCACTTCAACAGCATTGGTTTTTCATTCAGTAACATGTCGTAATCATGTAGATGTTGGAGATAATCATTCTATGTAAAACTCTTATAACGTAGATTTAATTTGAAACACATTAGAGCAACTTTTCTGATGCCAAATTTTTTAACATGTCTTGATTGCTTGAGCAAATAGTTTTGTGTGTTTTGTATCTTAATAGCCTAAATGCTGTAAGTAGTATGCAATACTAGTAACACCCTTTGACAAAACAAATTATTTCTCCTTTTCTCTGTTAAACTCACTTTAAAATATCACCCATTATGGCTAAACTAACAATCACACAGTCTGACTTCACTTTCACTGAGTTAAAGTTTTCTGACTTAACTTTTACTTCTAACTTTTTGCATTTGCACGTATTTATAACATGTGATAGAATAAGCTAGAAATCTCTAACCCTCTACTAGCAACAATATTACACATAACTAGAAACTTTTGGAATCTTTGAGTAAGATGATGTCAACAATATTACTAAAGCCTTGTACAACAATTAAACTTTATACACAACGTGCAACACGTACAGAGTTATGTAATGAGACTTGTCACAACTATATCTTTCAAAATAATTAACTTTTACACTCTTGTTACCTTGTTATGAAAATTAAATAATCATTAAATATTAAATCATTAAATAAACGAAATAATAACTCTTAAACTAAACAGTCTTGTGTATCCAACACCCTGCAATGAATTAAAACATTTTTAATACTACATTCTAATATAAAATCAGTGGATTTCCATCAACTAAAACACTTTCAATATTATAAACAAACTTTCTAACCAAAATTCTTTGTTGTACTAAATACAGGTGGTTAACAGAAAGAATTTTTCTGTCCTACATTACTTCCATTATGAACACAACTAGCAGAAACCTGCAAATCATTTGAGGTCCAATTAATATTTTTGTTGAAACATTACTTCTTTAAATACAGGATCACAGTCCTAAACAATGATTGATTATATTTCCAGTTAACTAACTTAATAGGAAGCAAACAAATGTCATGTATTAAGCTGATGTATCAGAACTTTCAATTTCAAAATAATATAAATAAATTCTAATCACAGACATCAAAATATACAAGTCCACTTGTCTTAGACCTAATATTAGTTAAGCCTTTATTTCATAAAGAGATAAATTACCACTGTAACTTGTGTATGTTTTTCACTCTAGTTTAGTTTGGTCTAAGCGTTACCATACTATTAATAAATAAACTTATAATATTACTTTATGATCTAACATTGGACCTTTTTATTGTATAATTTAAATACTATGCTCAAGGAAACATGGAGGCCTCTGTCACATTTTCTAGTTATCACATAAACCATAGCTAACTGCAATCTAAACAACAACAAACATATCTGATTGGCCAAAATATAATTTTTAAAATCTGTTTTTCAACCAATATTTATTTTGAAAAACACATATAAGACAAACATTTTTAATCAATGGAGACACTAAATTAAGAAATCAACAAGTATATTTCCAGTTTCACTATCTATACATATCCTTTTACACTTTCAGTACGCTGTCTAACAACAATATTAGGTTATACTTTTGTTGCTAAGCAACAGAACACAAAAACTATTATGGAAAATGCATACCAGAATCTGATTTATTAACAGTAATAGAAAACCCAACAAACACGCCTTTACTAAACTTAACTATTTCTGATTAAGAAAACGACTTTTTAATTAAATATTTCATATATCATCTACAAAGAAATTTAACACTAAAGACTTTCTGGAATAATATATTTATGTTAGTGACTACACCCAGCTATTTTAATTAATATTCTTATTTCATAATCATACATTGTTAATATGAAAGACCTTTATCACTCTATTCTGGAGTAATATACTTCTCTTATCCACATAGAAAGTTAACATGAAGGATTTCCTTATTTGCTTGCTTGTTTGTTATTAAGCACAAAGCTACACCACAGGCTATCTGTGCTGTGCCCATTAAAAGTATCAAAACCCAGTTTTTAGAAGCTTGAACCTTCTGACTTACTGCTAAGTCACTGGGGGGCTCTTATCGGAACTAAATTATTTCACTTCTCCAAATAAAAAATTATAATGATAGTTTTTTTCTGGAGTGAAATATGCATAATATATGGAGAGTTGTTTCAGAATGAAATGGGATGGTTCACTGTCTTTGTCAAAATCAAAACTTTTAAATACTCACCTGTAAATAGTAACTTCTTTCTTCTGACCCATGCGGTACACACGATCACATGCTTGAATATCTAAAGCAGGATTCCTATAAAAAATGAGTTGGTATTCATTACTGTTGCATTTTAATATTCAGCAACTCTTAAGTTCACTTAAGCCCAACATATCCAGAATGTAAATGTTAATTTAATATATATATATATATAGACACACACATATATAAATGCACGTTACTTCCAGATAACAGCTACACCTTTGTTTACCTATTTTTGTGTTGTAGTTACAGACTAACCCTTGGTTATACTAATTTGTCACAAATACAAACTAAACCAATGTTTATTAGTCACTTGTATACACAGATAAAGGCTTAGCCTTTAATATCAAATTCATTTGTTTTACATACAGGCTAATCCTTTTTATACTGTTACTTGTGTTATAGAGTTAGGTTAAACCTCTGTTTATAATTACTTGTGTTAATGATACAAACTAAGCCTTTGGATAAAGTTACTTATGTTACAGGTACTTGCCAAGCTTTTGTTTATATATACTTCTTATACAGATATTAAGGCTATGATTAAAATAACTTTTATCACAAATGCAAGCTGTCTTTCTTTATGTGTATTTTGTTTAGTGTATGCTTAGCCTTTAAGTAATTTTTGTTACATGTCACATGTTTAGCCTTTCTAAATCAATAAACTTAGAACTTTCATCTGGACTTGGGTCTTTTGCTGTCAAGAGATGAGGCATTCTAATCCTACCATTTTTCTGCAATGTTGGTTATCCACAAAACTATTCATGTTTATTTCAAATATGTATTTTAGAACACAAAAAGTTATCACACACTAAAACAGAATGTCCTAAAACTACTACAATTTAACTGGCTTTCTAACTAAGCAATAAATAGTTTCAAAAAATTCCATTAGTTGCTCAAGCTGAACACCTTGATTGGAAACAATAAAACTGATGCTAAATATCACCCTATAAGCACCAAAAACAAAATAGTCCAAATAAGACATCTTGTAAAGAAAAAGCTGGTCTTTCTATTAGTTATACATAATCAAAGAGCAATGTCCGAAATTGACATTTTTGTTTATATCCCAGGAAGGAAAGAAAGAAGTTCTAAGTTTATGTTCTGACTTGTCAATATCTACAGCATGTGTTTGTCATTTAGTTGGACTCTCAGAAAATCATATTAGTATAGAAAGAAAATTTACAATGGTTAATTTGGAATACAGGTGCATCATATGATATAGACAAATTACAACTGAAAATTTATTTAAATATTTCCCTTTGAAATTAAGAAAACAAAACTGACTTAATATAAAAATATTAATTATAAACTAAGTTTTGATATTAAGTTTATAACATACACTAATAATAAATTAGCTTATTTAAATTTTGAATGTAACCCCGTAAAAAGACTTCATGACATGCATATTTTGACCTACCCATATCTGTGGGGTTAAATATAAACACATATACTTGTGCACACACACACAGTGTCATTTTTCTTCATATGAATGATTATGGCCATCAAACTGATTAGAAATCAACAATAATTTTATACAAAAAATGGATAACTACATAAAATGAAGAATCATTAAAAGTTACTGAATTAAAAACTTGCCTAGTTTCAACAACTCCCAAAGTTACTTCTAGCTAAACAGGTTTATGATCACATGTCCTTAAAAATTAAACATTCTGGGGTCATGTAGGCATTTCCTGTCAGAATATAATGTGAGACTGAAAAAGACACACACTAAGGTGTTGAAACTAGTTTCTCTGTCTTCAAGTCTGCTGATAGTTTGTTATATTCAGTGTAGTTTTCACAATTCTTTCTTTTTTCTTATGTTACTTTATTCATTACACGAAATAAGTAACTGTCCCACCGAGAGAAGTTTCACAGATGTTATTTAATTTTTTGAAGTAATTACTTCAGCAGTAACTTTTTGCTGTACAATAACTCTCACTTGTGATTTGAAACCAGTAGTCTTAATGGTAGACTTCATTGCAACATGAGCTTAGAGATTAGTTGGGATTTATTTTGAAACAGCTGTACGTGATTTCTAAAAGATAAATTTTATAAATAAGATATAGTGAAATAAATACTATATATATATATATATATCAGTGTTATGGTGTGTAAGATATAGTGAAACAAATACTATATATATATATATATATCAGTGTTATGGTGTGTAAGAT